ATATAGCCAAAAGCTTTTTACATTTTGGATCATGTAGAAGAGAAATCCTCTCTCGTGTTCCTTCTGGGGATATTCACTCTTTCTATAGCAGTCACCAAGCAGGTATTGAAATCTCCTCCATTGAAATTCTTCAAATGGAGGAAACCTGTTCTAGCAAGAACTTTCTAACGGGATTCCCCTTCACTTTCTGGAGATTTTCTTTGTAACACGTGTTCAGTCTTTGAGGCAAGAAGTAAAGCGCTGCTCCAGATTTTGTCTGCTCCAGTTCTGATAAATTCCCCCCATTATATATGTACTTCATGAAACAGCCCGCCTTGTGTCTCTTTCAGCTTTAGCAAAATGCATGTGACGTCCATGATATTGTGCCAGACGCCTTTCTTGGCTCCTGCGTGGTAAAATCGGCCACGCGCCTGAATCTTTTGTAATCTGAAAAAAAAAAAGTAAATTCATAAGTCACCGCGGAGTAGATGTAGCGTTGGCTGATGCCAGCCTCTCCCCAAATGCGTGCGTTTTATACTGCTATGTGTTTTTATATGAAATGTAAGGCTCTGAAATGGCCATATTGTTCTCCTTAACATAACAGCAGTCTGTCGGAGCCTTTCTCTTACTGCTAACTGCTCATGGCTTCCAAGTCATCACCTGGAACCGTTCAGCAGCTCTGAAATCCCCATGAGTCACCGCATCCTTTAACTGTTTGAGCTGCTATACTTCATATATGATATCAGAGGGAAATTTCAAGAGGCATGGCACCCCACAAAGAACCCGCCCCCCTTTGTATTATTATACAGGATTTATATAGCGCCAACGGTTTGCGCAGCGCTTTACAATATAAGGAAGACATTACAATCACATTACAAATCAAGACAAGATGGTAAGGAAGGCCCTGCCCGTGCGGGCTTACAATCTTAAATCTTTTAAAGCTCACCTGTTCTTTTACGGCAGACAGTACACCATAACGGTGGGGTTTAGGAAGGGAAAGCTGCAAAACAGGCCAACTGAGTCCTCCAGCAATGCAGGGAATTTTACAAGAGATGTAGATAGAGGAAGGAGC